GTGTTACACGTCGTAACTTGAGTTGCGACGCGTCGCAGCACTTCGTGAAATCGGGCGCTGAAATCGCAATTAAAATCACAACCTTTAGACTACAAATAAAGTCGGTTTTGGGGTCCACTGGAGTTTTCAACTGTCCGGCCACCATATTTTGGACTGTTTCTAGGAATGAACAATACATGCATTTGACTTATTACCATCACTGACTCTGCTCCATGAGCAGGGTCTGTGGTGGCTGACATGGGTGAGCCCCGAGAATGACGTCAGAGCTAATCAAACGGCACAGGGCTAACCGGAGTCGATCCGGGTGAGCTACTCAAATGCACCCTTTATTTGTAGAATCATTTTTTGTAGCTTGCATGCAGTGTGTACATGTATGCTTGTAATTGCATTGTGGTGGTATTGATGTGGTGACAGTGGTGTGCTCTAATTGTATTTATAAACATAATCTTTGTTTTCACACATAAAGTAAAAACAAGATTGGTATTGGGAAATAAAAGGACACTAACGCACCAAGCTACATGTATACTTAAACAATCTGAGACTAGTACAATTTTCTCAATACCAATGTCAACAGAGGGGGCTGTGCAGCATCTGCAGCCAAAACAGAATGGGGATAATGATAGTGCCGGTATACGTACGTATCAAGGATTTTTCGTATGAATGAGATGCATTACTCTTGGACTGAGCATCTCAACATGCAGTCCCGTTCTTTATGTCAGCTGTGGCACTTTTTTTCTCCAATTTTGTCACATTCATTCTGATTGGGCCCCAAAAAATTAGTCTCCGGTTTCTGGTATGCGCGCGCGTTGCCGTAGCCATGCGTGTCAGCAAAATGAAAAAGTTGGGTTTTTTTTCAATAAAAGATGATTTCTCAAAACCGCCAAACTCACTGGTTTGACTGGAATCCTGCTGTTGCACAATTTTAACATGCTTTTAGATGGGGTTTTGATCGAGAATAAGCTTTATGTGGCCTCTCTGGACTCCCATATACGTGTATTTTCACTAAGTTTAGTCAGGCACCATTTGCAGTCATCAGCCGGCATTTGAAGCCAAAAAAAACAGGTAAAAAAAACCAAAAAAGCCGCGTCGCCGTACCACTTTTTGGGCAAGCTCCATACCAGAAACAGGAGACTTTTTTTTTGGCCTTAGTTGGTAGAGTGAGAAATTTTACTTGCAAGTTGAAAGGGTTCATTTAAAATATGTTTTAATGGAATTCAAAGCAAGTTGTTCACATTTTGTTATTTGTAACATGTGTATTTCATGATAAAATAGACTTTTGAGGATTAATTTTTACCCTTAAGGCCAAAAAAAATAATAAGTCGGTCTCTGGTCAGCGCGCGCGTCGATTTTAATCATGCGCGTCAATCTTTTTTTTTCCAAAATGTTCCGCGGTAGCTCCAACAGCGCCCTCTATTTCCGCACCTCCTCAATTTTTTTTTACCAAAGAGCACCAAGGAATGGGAAATTGCACCAAGGCAAATGATCGAGAGCACCAAGGCAAGTTATGGAGGACACCAATGTACATGAGGACACCAAAAAAGCAAAATAGTACCCCACCTTGTCTGTACAATCCAAGCTTGAAGAAAAAAGAAAAAAAGCAAAAAAAAAAAAAAAAGCCGCGTGGCCGCGTCAATTCCGGAACTTTGGTCTGACCAGAGACCGAATATTTTTTTTTGGCCTAATAATAAGGTACTATCAACACCCCTGCAGGAAACATCACTGCTCATGAATTTTTACATGTACTTAACAAGTACACAATAATAACACTGTCAGTTGGGGGGGGGGTCAACAAATCTAAGCAAATCTAGCATTCCTGTTTGTCAGGGTACTGACTAATGGTAGTGATATACATGTAAGGTCCTGGTTGAAAAAAGTTGATTTAAAGCTGCATAGGCCTGTAAATGACAAATTTGTGTATTAGTAATGCTTCATTTTTGTTAAATTTAATAGTGTTTTAAGTCATGTGTTTGTAAATGGGCAATTCCACGGAATTACAATCCTCCTTTCTTAGGCCAAAAAAAAAATGTCTCCGGTTTCTGGTATGCGCGCGCGTCGCCGTAGCCATGCGCGTCGGCAAAATGAATTTTTTTTTTTTTTCAATAAAAGATGATGTCTCAAAACTGCCAAACTCACTGGTTTGACTGGAATCCTGCTGCTACACCATTTTAACGTGTTTTTAGATGGGGTTATGATCGAGAATAAGCTTTATGTGGCCTCTCTGGACTCCCATATATTTGTACTAAGTTTAGTCGGGCACCATTTGCAGTCATCAGTCGACATTTGAAGCAAAAAAGTCAGGTAAAAAAAAAAAAAAAGCCGCGTCGCCGCACCACTTTTTGGACAAGCTCCATACCAGAAACCGGAGACTTTTTTTTTTTGGCCTTAGCTTATGATCTTTTTTTTTTCATTGAAATAAATTTTATTTCGAGCAATTTTCAACGATTCAGCTGTTACTTTTTAACTGACAAATTAAATAATAAGAACAGAAACAAATCAATGTCTGAGTACGTCCGACACCATGGTGTTTTGAGCTGATTTCTATAACAGTAAAAAAGTTGGACGAAATAAGTTCTTTTTGAAATTACTGTAGTGACTGATAGGTGTTTTCTGATTTGTAATCCATTTTATGTTTATAACTTTTATTACGCAAACTGTTAAATTGTCAAAAATGCACAATGTATGTCCAACACTGTGGAACTGCCCATTTGTCAAGCAGAAAACTGCCAGCACGTTTATTTTTTTTTGCATCTTGGTAAGGTCATTGACCATTATATGCATGCGTGAAACACATCACACGAAGAAATAAATATATCACCCAAATCAGAATACCGGTAACTTCTTATACGATTAGCTTATATTCCACGATGGCCAGCGTGGTTTCGCTATAGCGTGCTGCACTCAATCAGTGGTCAGGATGCTGAAGGTTCCTGGTTCGAATCGTGGAGGAATTTTACTTTCTCCCAAAAAGTGAATTTTCTTCCCTCAATTGTGTTTAAAGCTACAGTCCATCATTTGCAGCCATCCAAAAAGTAACTGACGTAATAATTGTTGAAAAACATACTTGGTTGAAAGAAAGTAAGAGGACTAAACTCCCTGTGAATTTATTCTTTCTGGCAAGCTGTCATTTTAAAGAAATCAACGAAAGAAGGCCTTTCCAACGGTGTGTCTTTAGACACACCGTTGGAAAATTCCGTTAGTAGTTCGTTTTTTTATTCGGCGAAGCGCGCGCAAGCTTTGGCACGATGCACTCGCGCGCGTGGTTGCTATAATTCGTCGGATCAGTGCGCGACATCGCGTAGCTGCAATCGGCTCAGTGAGAACGTGTCTCGGACGCTGAATTCAGGCCCAATTCAAAACATGATTCAGCAACTTTTGATTTGAAATCGAGATCCTAGAATGCTGTTTTTCTCCGAATATACAGCTGAAGCTGAGCTGAAACTTCATCAGGTTGGTTGTTCAGCACCCTTCTTTAGATTTTGAGCACTTTTGTTGCTTCAAACGAACAAAATGCAGAAATTACAAATGATGGACTATATCTTTAATCAAGTCCTGATGATCAATCAAATAAATTTCTCCTTTTTCCTCTCACCCGTGGCTCTGGAGGATATTTTTTCAATGGGAGGTTAAGTCCGAGAACCATTCCTTTACCAACTGACAAATGTGCATTATATTCATTGACTATACCTGGTTGCAGAAAAAAGTAATTGCAAACTGCAAAAGACCATTATCATGTTGCTGCCATCTTGATTTTTTCCCACTCAAATTAACGCAACCAAAGCGAGGCTGGAAGGCAAAATAGTCTGGTTCCTTTTTGCAAAAAAAGAAACATTATCGTTCAGTACTGTTATTGGATACAGGGAACATGACTGAAATGGTGGCAGCATGATAAAGGTACAGACATCACAGTAGAGTCATGTGAACTGTCAACTTTTCAACAACAGAGGGGGCTATTCCCCTTTCCTGTTTCTGAATTTTGGTAGAGTGGAGAGATGATGATAGTGCAAAATAAATCAATATTTCTAGATGTGTAAATGAAAGTACAATTTAATCCCTTATTTGTCTTTTTTGAGCGACTGACTGAGTCAATGATGGACTGACTCTTCCAATGACTGACTGAGTCAATGACAAACTGAGTCAACAAACAACTGAGTCAATGACTGACTCACTTAATGACTGAGTTGATGACTGACTCAGTCGATGACAGACTGAGTCAATGACTGACTGAGTCAATGACTGATTGACTGACTGAGTCAAGGACTGACTTGAGTCAATGACAAACTGAGTCAACAAACAACTGAGTCAATGACTGACTCAGTAAATGAATGAGTTGATGACTGACTCAGCCGATGAAAGACTGAGTCAATGACTGACTGAGTCAATGACGGACTGAGTCAATGACTGACTGACTGACTCGAGTCAAGAACTAACTGAGTCAATGACAAACTGAGTCAAAAAACAACTGAGTCAATGACTGACTCAGTCAATGACTGAGTTGATGACTGACTCAGTCAATGACTGACTGAGTCAACAAACAACTGAGTCAGTGACCGACTCAGTCAATGACTGAGTTGATGACTGACTCAGTCAATGACTGACTGAGTCAATGACAGAACGATTCGATAACTTGCCAAGTCAATGGCTGAGTCACTGACAGACTGAGTCAAGGACTGAGTCAATGACAAACTGAGTCAACAAACAACTGAGTCAATGACCGACTCAGTCAATGACTGAGTTGATGACTGACTGAGTCAACGACTGACTGAGTCAATGACTGAGTCATTTGCTGACTGAGTCAATGACTGATAAGGTCAATGACTGACTGAGTCAATGACCGACAGAGTCAAGGACAGACCGTGTCAATGACTGACTGAGTTAATATCTGACTGCGACGCTGACTGGCCGACTGACAAGGAGATTTCAGAAGTTCCCGGATGTCTGCGCCAACCTATTTCCGTAGAAATGTCCAATGCTACAGGACTACTGAATCTGTTTTTAAAATGTGTCCTACCTTCTAGTTGTCTGTCGCTCCTCCAGTAGTTGCCTACTGAGCTCCTCAATCTGTTTATCCATCTGCTCCTGTCAGACGGAAAAATGAGCCAAAAAAACCTGTTTAGATCCATCATTAATCGTACGAAACACAAGCAGTCCCATAACCAGGGTTTGGTTTGCCTGTTTACAAAAAAGAATTTTCAAGTATTATTTTTTCACAGACAGACATCCATGCTAAAAGGTAGACAAGAATTTGTGTTGGCCATCTCTCCCCCCCCCCCCCCCCCCACCCCCGGGAAATTGAAAAGCAGAGGGTGCACCATCTTCTTGTACGGTGCGTTGTTAAAAGCTTATGATCATGGACACTATCGGGCAATAGGTGGCGCTCTTCATTCCTGCAAATTTGACAACGGAAGCACGGTTTTTCCGACAGGGCAGTTTCACTGTCCCAATTTCGCTTTTATCATGTCCTGGTTTTGCTTTTAAAATATCAAGCCTGACTGCACTCTTTGCACCCCCCACCTTCCCCTCCCTCCACATACACACACATGTTTTTAATGGTGTACATGTAAATCGAGGATTTTCTATTATTTGTTAAATACACTAACTTTTTTTTGCAACAGCTCCTATTGGTTTTGTACACATTTTCTAATCGATGTCGTTCTCGATTTGACTCCTGTCCACAATTACTCAGTGATGTTTCACGTTTCCTCGATTTACATGTACTTGTACACCATAAACAATCCCACCCAGGCAAGGATGTGGAGATTTGTTTCAAAGGCCAATTTCATGAAATTGCTTACTAGGAAATATTACTTGGCAAATTGATACGCTCGGCAAAAAAAAGGCCAAGTACCAGTCACAAGCAATATGCATTTACATCTACTTTTTGGCTGGTAACCAGTTTATGCTAAGCAAAAAGTCTTCAGTGCTTAGCAAATTTCTGTGTCTTATCAGCTCCATTGGCTTTATTCACAAGCATACCTTCCGCATGCATTACCAGGCCTGAGGTACATTCACTATGAATTTCAACACCGTGAATTTGGAGTGAATATATAATTTGAAATGAATTCACCGTGAATTTTTTTTCCACGGTGATGTCATTGCAAAGTATCTGGTGAAATCGCCCTGAAAATCATCCCATAACCAGGACATGTTAAGGTCAAGTACAAACACTGTGAAAATGCAGTGAAGCCTCCTGTGGAGCCCAGCTCATTAACTTTGCGGTTGCGTTAATCAGTTGAGCAGTTTACCAACTTTGGGGCCTAATCCCCCTCATAAAAAGGCACATTGCCTGTCAATCTTAATTAGGTGATCACAATAAACAGGGTGTTGGATACTTGTAGGAGGACACTTTGTAGCTTTTGTGTACTTGGGCAGTGGGCATTAAGGTAGTAAGTGTAGCTGTCAATCACACTCCTGTAATCACTCAGACCGTTAATCTGTGGTTTTCACACCTTCAGTGGAGGGAAGCTGGACCTGCTGTACAGTTATGAATAACAACAGACCCTTGGACCTCCACAAAACCCATGTAAAAACACCGTGAAACTGCAGTGAGCTTATCCCCTGCTGAGGGGCCCAGTTTGGCACAGTGAAAATAAGCTTACTTGGGCAGTGTAAAAAAGTTTCACGGCGACTTCATTGTAAAGGTGTGCCAAAGTTCCCAAGTCTGGATATGTTCATTTTGTTGATAGTGCCCTCTACTGCCGGGTTGGGATGGGTTGCAGTAGGGGTACAAATCTGCATGTACATGTAGACTTGGACCAAGAAAAAAACAGCCAGGAAAGGACTCATCACATGTGCATGCCGCTTTGTGCCCATATGCCAGGATGGCATGGAGCGCGAGGGACTAAATACAGCACTGGCACACAGTTGAAATGATGCTAAATTATCTTCTAGTAAACTTGATTCCTTGATTCCTACCTCCATGATCCAAGCTGTGCTACATAATAACAATGTAGCACGGCCATGGTCCATACCGCACCTCGCATATTGCGCTATTCTAAGATGCGCGCGCCATTCCGTACAACCTGCACGTGTAATGGGATAACCGCTGAAAAGTTTGTGTACAGCATGCGTGTTCCATCTTTACAGCGCGTCAAGTTTGCTTGAAGATTATTCATTGTGGAACACAGAAAATGTAGTGCGTCTGTGTCCCACATACCACTCTGCCTTCGGCCTCGTGGCATGTGGGACACAGACGCACTACAATATTCCGTGTTCCACTGATGCTTGCAGGATAACTTACACGTATAATGTCCTTCAATTTATGTTTTCCAAAATGTAAAACTGACGGCATACATGTACTCATTCACTGGTTAAAAAGAAAGCTTGAGCAATCGGTTCCCGCATTCAGCCACAAAATGCTGTCAAAAACCTTTTTGAATGTGATGCTAATTTTTAAATACATGTATGATTGAAGTCTGTTTCTGAACACTATACATTTCAAAACAAAAATCTGTTAGGCCAAAAAAAAAAAGTCTCCGGTTTCCAGTATGCGCGCGCGTCGCCGCAGCCATGCGCGTCGGCAAAATGAAAAAGTTTTTTTTTCAATACAAGATGATGTCTCAAAACTGCCAAACTCACTGGTTTGACTGGAATCCTGCTGCTGCACAATTTTAACGTGTTTTTAGATAGGGTTATGATCGAGAATAAGCTTTATGTGACTTCTCTGGACTCTCATATATTTGCACTAAGTTTAGTCGGGTACCATTTGCAGTCATCAGCCGACATTTGAAGCCAAAAAATTAAAAAACAGGTAAAAAAAAAAAAAAGCCGCCTCGCCGCACCACTTTTGGGGCAAGCTCCATACCAGAAACCGGAGACTTTTTGTTTTGGCCTTAGCATCATCCAATGTTACCATTTCTGTTAAAAAAAAAATGTACTTGTAAGTCAATAGTGGAACCCAAGACAGAGAAATCTTCAACTCTGGATGAGACACACTCGTCATTCACACGAAGTCATTTCGCTTCCACAGAAATACAACCTCTCGTTTTAGCTATCTTTCTCATTGATGACTTCAGTTACCTTGGCAACATATTGTATTTACCGCTCTTTTACAATTACTATTGCCCGGGGATACGTGGAAGAGGAATGTGACTCCAGGGAATTTAACTGTTAATTGGAAAAATATTATGCACTCAATTTGACCAACGTTTGTATTGAAATGGCTGTCACATATGGTTTAAATGTATGCAAATCAAATACACTGTAAGTCCATAAGGGAATAAATATGTGTTTGTCTGGTTTTAAACAAGTTCATTTAAGCTTGGGGAATGGATGCTGATAATGGGAAGTTATTGGCTACCAGGCTCCCGGCCAGTCTTAAACCGACTTGTTTAATACCAGTCAGGCACATATTTTATTCCCATTCATAAATACACGTACAATGTACATGTATCTTTTTGGTCAAAACGAGAAAACAAGTCAAAAATTATAATTTTCCAAAATTTTGTTCATTTTACTTCAATGTTTTACTTAGAAATACACTTCTAGTAGTCGTAAATACCTCCTTATGTGGAGATTGGCGCATACTGCACGATGTGGCACAGAACAGGACAGTGTCGGTGAAGTGTGAATTTAGAACTCTCGAAATACGGACTCATTGGTAGTATTGCGCGTGCCTAAGTGAAGATTGTGAACTTTCAACCAATAAAAGGGTAAAAGGAACAAGACTTCGTAGGAGTCCACATTTCATGTGAAACCGGAAAAGTGTGTAAAACCAGCCAGCCAGAGTTTTATCAACTGTTTAAGATCGACCACGTGATGGGCTGTCAACCAATGGCTGTCTACTTTTCAAGTGGACGTACTTTAGGCCCCCAAAAAAGTCTCCGGTTTCTGGTATGGAGCTTGCCCAAAAAGTGGTGCGGCGACGCAGCTTCTTTTTTTTTTTACCTGATTTTTTTGCTTCAAATGTCGGCTGATGACTGCAAATTGCAAACTTAGTGCAAATATATGGGAGTCCAGAGAGGCCACATAAAACTTATTCTCGACCATAACCCAATCTAAAAACACGTTAAAATTGTGCAGCAGCAGGATTCCAGTCAAACCAGTGAGTTTGGCGGTTTTGAGACATCATCTTTCATTGAAAAAAAAACTTTTTCATTTTGCCGACGCGCATGGCTATGGCAACGCGCGCGCATACCAGAAACCGGAGACCGTTTTATTTTTTTGTGGCCTTATGTACATGTACATGCACTAAACTACTATTTCAAAATATTACCCACATTTGTTTTTGCTGTATAATACTGTTGCATCATTTCTTAATCATTTTTTGGTCTTAAATACACGTACCATACTTGGCAAAAAAAATGTTTCATTTATCGACAAAAATGGAAATCAAATATGCCTTCATGTACTTCCACTTCCTTGGAGATTACCAACTTCATATTGATTTTTTTTTTCAGTCTAAAATATCTGCTTTTCTTTTTTTTCTTAATTCAAACAAGATTCTTATTTACCAATGTACAGTACACATTTATACATGAACACATATTTGCCAACCTCCCAATTTACACACAATCTGCATTTTAAACATAATAAAACCGCCACGTTTATTTGCATGACCTCCCAGGGCTGCAGCGCACGAGGGAAACGTCAGCGGCTTTAATCAGGCGGAGAACTCGTTCCTCTCAAAAGACGTTAAATGCTCTCTCCCAGATTAAATCAAATTCCAGACTTAAATGCATTTTACAGGAGAGTGAATCCTTAACGTTGATCCAATTAACTAATTGACGAACATCCATAAGACATATATGTAAATCTATTTTCGACACTGCAATTATTTCTCAGTTGTACCTGTGAGGGGAATGTCGGTCTACAAATTTAAAGTGGCATGTTAAGTGAAATGGTAAGATTTATGGAAAAAAGTACGTTTTGAATGTATTTTTTCAACTAATCACGAAGGGGACTTACTAATTTTAAAGTTGAACAAAGAAATTGACTGGAGCAGGGTTTGAACCGGTGAATTCCGGATTGCCGTTCCGGTGCTCTTACCAACTCAGCTATTTAGCCCTGCGGTTAGCATTCCCCATTCTTCCAATGTTTTGGGTCCTGGAGCACTAGTCCAAGGCCATTAACCTGTAGCC